GAAGCACTAAAGGGCTTCTGCAATATCCCTGGCAGCTAAGTCAACATGTACATGAGTACACTTCCATGGTTTAGGTTTCTTCCACCTTGTCAGGATTTTGACTTTTGCCAAACACTTCTGCTCTGGTCATGCATCTTGAGCAACTCAACATCTATCTGATCAACAAATGAGGCTTTGGTATCTTCTCCCAGTTAAGTATCTTTGTAGAAAGGGGAAAACAGAAAAAAAGTAGAACACTAATACCAAAAAAAAAAAAAAAAAAAAAAAAAAAACAAACCCAAAAAACTGAAAAACCAAAGTCAGAATTTTCACTTACCCCATGGCAAAAGAGTTTTGGATGAGGCAAGATTTGGCTCAGATATCTAAAGGCATCCCTCCCTCTTAACTTTTTATTTGGAAACAATTTCAAACTTACAGAAAAATTGTAAAACTAAGAATAGAAAAAAGAGTACCCTTCACCCAAAATCACCTATTAACATTTTACCCATTTGTTTTATCATTTGTTTTCTTTCTCTTTCCCTTTCTCCCTTCTCTCTCATATACATATGTAAAAATAGATATGCAAAACATATATGTAATTTGTAATTACTTAAAAATAACTTGTGTATATCATGTGTATTTTTCAAAATTAAGATATTCTATGTAGCCATACTACAGTTGTCTATCAACTTCAGCAATTTTTTTTATTCAAAAAATTTTTAGTGTTAATTTATTTATGTTCAGACACAGAGAGAGCATGTGAGCAGGGGAGGGGCAGAGACAGGGGGAGAAAGAGAATCCCAAGCAGGTTCTGTGCTGTCAGCACAGAGCCCTATGCGGGACTCAATCTCACAAACCGTGAGATCATGACCTGATGATGCTATAATTTTATATGATCTATTGCCCATATTCCGAATTTGCCAGTTGATTGCATCGTGTCTTTTGTAACACTGCTGTCCTCTTAGACCAGTCTAGAATCAGGTATTGCATTTAGTTGCTATGTCTCTTAAGTCTCCTTTTATATGCAGCTAATTTGTAGGATTAATTTATGCTACACACACACACACACACACACACACACACACACAGAGGCATTCCTTCTCCATTTAGACATCAGTTTCATTTGAATTACACACTTTCCAAATTAGTTTTGCCAGGAGATTGCCCTCAATGGCACTCATCCTGTCTGACCTCTCTTACACGGTACCGCCAGGCAACAGAGTCTGTTAGAGTGGTAGGTATAGTTATGTCCTCCCAAAACATTTTTCCCCCTTAGCCTTAAAAGGACTCATGGCTAGAAACTTTGTTGCAAATCAATATGAAGTGGTGACCATTTACTTTAAGAGAACATATTCTTCAATGCCTGACTGGGGAACAGTGGTACAGATTCTTTTGTGGTGGTGAATTACCAAATCACTTCACTGCCTGAAAATATTTTCCAATCCCCTCCTCCACCTGTCTCCTTCTGAAGTACCATGACCTTTGGACAGCCAGCCTGACAGAGAGAGCCCATTCCTCTTCAATTACTTTGATAAATGTAAGAGGAGAGATGGCTGCAGTTGATAGGCACAACCTAAACAAAGGCTCCAGTTGAGAACTTCTGATGGCTACAGTTTCCATCTGAGCCTAGCAGACAGGTATTAATCCCTATAAATGCTGTAGCCAAACCATATGGGTGGGGGAAACTTGACCACTACAGTGAAATCACAGACACACTGCATACTGAAAGACTACACCTCTCCCAATGTCACGGTTTATTTGAATGCAATCCCAGTCAAATCAATATCGCCATCTTAATCAAGAGGGAATTACAGGCTTCGGCAGAGAGGTAACATTGTTAGTAATTACATTCAAGCCGTTTTTAGACCTAAGCACTGCACTCTGAGCTGAAATGTTTAAACAGATATAAGGGAGGGGGAAAAAAACACATGGCAAGAGCTTGAGGGCTGTTTGTGCCCAGAGTGGTGATTCAGAAGTCATTGTGTTCATGTTCAAACTTTAGAATGGAAGTGCCAGACCAGGAATCTAAGGATCAAGGAGAGAAAACAGCGGTGGCATTGTGGATGTGAATAACATGAGTAGAGCGTGTTGTAATCTTCATTGTAACCAGCCAGACTTTTTTTCTTTTAATCAAAATACACCATCTCTGTGCATCTTTTAAGGGGAAAATTCCTGGCATGGTTCCCATGTAAGACATAGTGGGTTTACAGCTTGCCAGGGATACAATGTGGGAAGAGGACCCCTCTGGCTGGCTGTGACATGTTCTTGTGAGCCCAGGACACCACACCCTGCCCAGGCCTTCCAAGTAGCAAGTAGAAATTAAGGGCGGTGGGGGTGGTGGGGAAGCAGATCCAACAACATTTATTTGTACTTAAAGTTTTGTATTGTAAATTCTTTTCATCCATTTTCCACCCCACCCCACCCCCAATTTGTGTTCCAGTTCTTGAGAAAGAGGACTTGCTTAAATTGAGAAAGTCTGAAATGGTGTTTGTGGATAAGGAAATGTGCTTTTTCAAGTTCAAATGCAGTTGGCATCAAAGCAGAAGAGGTGCAGTGGAAGAGACATGCTTTAGTTAAAGAAGAAAAAGGACTTATAATTAACTCTAAAATGGCATCTTGAACCAGGCTGGCCTCAGCTGGAAAGGGCTTTGTTTATATGCAAAGGACTTCTTCTAAAGGCACTAGAAAATCTTATCCTGGAGGAGGTAAACTTCTTGATATCTTACCTATTCTACTCACTTGGTTATCCTCCCTCCCACTTTTTTCCTGATATATGTCAAGAAAAGGTCAACTTTAACTCCTATCAGGAATGATCACATATTTCAAATTAATCTATTTTCACTGGTTAAATACTGCCCCACACACATGGTTTTACCATCATAATTATTGTATAATGGTGCTTTATTAATAGGCTCCCATGGGAACAAAGTCAGCCAGGTCATCGAGAGGATGATGATGTTGGGACCCTCAGGACTGGCTGGGTGGCAACAGCAGTGAGACACAGAATGTTCCCTGTGTGCCCCTGATTCTGGACATGTCTGTGGGGCCAGGGCTCAGCCCAGCTCGACACAGAGCTACTTTTGCAGGCTGGTGCATCCCGGGTGTGGTGTGGGTGTGCTCAGAGTCCCCTTGGCACAGGGCTATCTGAAAAAGGAAAGAATGTCCTTTGCCAGTCACCCTCTCCTCTGCAAAACAGAGCCTTAGTCCACCTTGCCTAGAAGGAAGAGGGTGAAGTAAGGGGCTCCGAGCTCTGGGGCACAGCTATATGCATCTCACATTACTTCACACCATTATAAATTTCCACCAGTGAAAGGTGTTATTAAATGTGGCCAACCCCCCCCCCTTTCCATAGGATTCCATTACCCTGCATCTGGCATTCATTGGCCTTTCCCTCTGAGGAACGCCCACCCCGTATATCCCATCACCAAACACTGCCAGTTTTACACCTTAGAATTGGACATCTGCTTTGTCTCTTTCTCCCATTCCCAATATACTGCTCATCACCTGCCCATTCATCTGACCACTGAAAGAACTGCTTAGCTATATTCTTGCCTCTGGCCACTAACTTCTAGTACGACCTTCACACTGTCACTAGAGAGACAGACAGATGGGTGAGTGGCTAGAGAGAGAGAGAGAGAGAGAGAGAGATTGAGAGAGTCATGCCACCCTATGACCCAAAACCTTTCCGTGGTATGTTAGTCCACTCGGGCTCCTAAAATAAAATACCACAGATTGAGTAGCTTAAACAACTGAAATGTGTACTCTCACAGTTCTGAGGGCTAAAAGTCTAAGATCAAGGTGTCAGCAGGTTTGATTTCTTCTGAGGCCTCCCTCCTTGGCTTGCAGGTGGCCACATTCTTGCTATGTCCTCACATGGTCACCCCTCAGTCTGTAGGGACAACATGTCTGGCATCCTTACAAGGGCATCTGTCATGCTGGGTTAAGGTTGTCCCTAATAATCCCATTTTAAGTACCTCTTTAAAGACTGTATCTCCCAATACACTCCTATTCATACGAACAGGTAGGGGGACAATTCAGCTCATACACGACTTGACCAATAGAATATGGTGGATGTGATGTTCTATTTCTAGGCCCAAACTTTAAAAAGCTGGGAGCTTCCTCTTCCTGTCTCTGCAAACTTGTTGTTGGAACCCAAGAGTCATGCTCTGAAGAAGCTCAGGCCATGTGGAGATACCACGTGTAGGTGTTCTGGCTAGCGGCCCCTGCTAAAGTCCTAGCAACCATAAGATAAGTGGGTGAGATGTTTTCAATTTCCATTTCTTTTTTCTTTTTTTTTTTTTTAACGTTTATTTATTTTTGAGACAGAGAGAGACAGAGCATGAACGGGGGAGGGGCAGAGAGAGAGGGAGACCCAGAATCGGAAGCAGGCTCCAGGCTCTGAGCCATCAGCCCAGAGCCCGAGGCGGGGCTCGAACTCACGGACCGCGAGATCGTGACCTGAGCTGAAGTCGGACGCTTAACCGACTGAGCCACCCAGGCGCCCCTTCAATTTCCATTTCAACTCCAATGCCAGCCACCTGCTGACTGCAACCACATGAAAAACCCTGGATGAGAATCTCTAGCTGAGCCCGGTTGTTCCTAGAACCATGAGAGTTACTAAAGTGATGGCTCAATTTCAAATCACTAAGTTTTGTGATGATGTCTTATGAAACAGCTACTTTTGTGTGAAGTCTTCCAATTACAGCATTGACAAATACAAATTTAGAACAGAAAACACTGCTTCAGCCAAATTCTACACTTCTGTGGGCTGCCAGATGTTCTGCGTTTTTTTTTTAATTTTTTAAAGTTTATTTATTTATTTTGAGAGAGAGAAAGAGAATGAGTGAGGGAGGGGCAGAGACAGAGGGAGAGAGAGGATTCCAAGTGGGCTCCTCCACGCTGAGCACAGAGCCTGACTCAGGGCACATTCTCACAATCGTGAGGTCATGACCTGAGCCAATACCAAGAGTCATCTGCCCAACCAACTGAGCCACCCAGGTGCCCCCAGAAGTTCTGTTTATAACTTCTGTATGTTCTAGCAATACCCAAACACTTGGAGTGTCTGCCAGCACCTTGCTTGTTCATACCTCTGTGCCTTTGCAAATGCTATTCCCTCAATCCAAGCATTCCAGCTGCTTAGTTTCCCTCAGAGAAGACCTTGTTAACTTTGGGGGAATAAATAAACAGGTGACCATATAATCAAGGACTGACAGTACCGGGATCACTTCCTGTCTTCCTTGATTCTCCCTTGAATCCTTGTCTTACGCCCTTTCACTAAGGTAGGCAGACTTGGCTCTGTCCTTGCCACTTGCAACACAATGGCCTTGACATGTTATATACTTTTTATTTTCCAGCTTCCCTCACCCGGGGGATGTTTAGTGGCCTCTTTCCCGTGGACGGCTTCCTTATTTTCTTCCTTCATCTTTCCTCGGGCAATTCTGTTGTTTATCCACTTTTCTCTTTAATGGCTTTCAGTTATTCAAGGAAGATTGTCAAGTGCCACAAGGTCACCAGGAAACGCACTCTGCAGTCCAGAGGGCACAGAGATGGGCACAGCACATGCAGTCACTGAAGAGCCCACCTGCTCTCACTGCACCTTCCAGCAACGGGAACACCCCTAACTTAATGCTAAAAGCCCACCTGCAATCAGAGATGACCTGTGGATACACAGGTCTATGGCAGTCCAGATCGAATCCTTTCTTTTTCACAAGTAGTAAATCGTAAGGAAAACCTCTTTTCACAGTGGTAAATGCTTGTTTGCCTCTCTTTTTGCTTCATCCCAGCAGCTTAGTGACACTCAACTTATTTCTTTGTCCTTAGATTGAAAAAAAAATTTTTTTTTTGATCTTGCAACTCAAATGGTAGCTAGATGCCTCTTAAATATTTCCCCTGCATCTAGTGTCTCTGCCACCCCAGCTCCTTCCACATAACATGGTAGATTTCATCTTTTTTAAATGCCACCTAAAAACTATCATCAGAGGCTATCCATATACCCAGAAGCAGCTCCAAGTGCCATGGCTAGAAGTCAAAGGCATCTAAGGCCTGGCCCCAACCGATTTCTGCCCCCTCCTCTCCTGTAACTCCCTGCATGAACCCCGGCTCCAGTCAGACACAATCCCTCATTGTTCCTCAGGACACTGGGATGCCTCCCCCAGCTCAATAGTTTTTCTCCTACTTTCCTTCCTCCACCTACAAACCCCACACTTGCTACAGAGGCCATTCAACCTTTCATGATCCTTTCTCCAAAATCTTGGAGAAACCCAAACGTCTCTGCACCCAGATGATACAAGCTCTACAAACTGAGATACATCCCTCACCTTGTCCTCTCTCTGCATGCACGTTCCGCATATCCAGAGAGACCTAGCCTTTCAAAGGCAGAAGTCATGTTTTGTAAAATTTTATATCCCGAGGACCTAGCATGACTCCCCATGGTAGATGCTCTGTACATGTCCGACAGGCAGACCTGTGTATGTATAAATTGTCTGCTTTTGTTACTGATTAGACACAACCCAACTGACAGTTATACATCTTTGGACGGTGACCTTGACTTTCCTTCTGACCCTGTAATAATGTGTAAAACTTAGCAGGATTTACTGGGTACTCACTAATTAAATAATTGATTAGGGGCTCTACACTGTAAACACCACCTACAGAAATGTGAAATCCTGTCTCTAAAACAAACTTGCTTACCTCCAAACCATGACACTCGGTACTCCAGGGAAGTCACCAAAACAGTATCTGAGAAAAAGGTTATAAGCACCAAAAAGGGAATCAATATGATTATTGATTTTATTATTATTTTTTATCTCGCAGGATCCTGGGATTAGTATCCATGCTGAACCATGCAAGTAGCAGGCCAATAAGTGTCTGACTTTAAATATGTAAAAACTAACCTAGGAAACAAGTCAATAGGCTTAACTCAGAAAGCATTCAGCTAAGGGGAGTTCAGCTCACTTCTCACTTCTTTAGAATGACTAGATTCTAAAGACACTGCTGAATGTCAATGAAAAGAAAAGGGGTATAAGCTTCAAGTAAATAGGGCCATGTTGGCAAATCTATATGCAATTAATATAAGGTTTAAAAGTTAATAAGCATCCTGGATTCTGGTTAGATTTTAAATGGAGCTTAATAAGACTATTAGGACAGAAAAATCTGACCAAGAATTGGCAAGTTGAGGTAGAACTTTCTAAATCATTTTTTTTTAAAGCTAAATAGGGTGCTTTACAGCTATTCATGCCCCAACAAATACAAACAACATATTATGACTTTTACTTAAATGACAATGACCAGACACATTCAAGTATTTCCACTGAAGACTCCCCATTTTGTGGATGATTAAAAGCAAGGTCAGGAAGCATTAAGTAACTGATTCAGTCACAGACGCATCCTAACCCAAAGGTCAGCAGCCTTCCCCTGCACCCACTGCTCCTAATTCAAAAAGAATGGGACCTCTGGAGAGAAAGAGTTCAAAGATAAAATGTCTGCAGTGCGTGACTCTTAAATGGACAATACTAAATTATTTAGCATACATTTGTACTTATGAAAAATTGGAGTTCTTTTTTTTTTTAATGTTTTTATTTAGTTTTGAGAGAATGCAAGCAGGGGAAGGGCGGGGGGGGGGGGGGGACAGAGGATCCAAAGCAGGCTCAGCGCTGACAGCAGCCAGCCAAAGAGGGGCTGGAATTCATAAACTGTGAGATCGTGACCTGAGCTCAAGTCTGACACTCAACTGACTGAGCCACCCAGGTGCCCCTGAAAAATCGGAGTTCTTAAGTTGACTTCCTGGACCAGTGAGGGCAAACTGGATTCTCCCCAGGAGCTAATCTGATCGATTGTCTTAAGCCCAATGTTGACAGTTTCCAAGAATACCTCTGGGTTTGATAGGAAAAGTAAATCAACAGATAGTGATGTCTGTCACAGGCAAGGAGAGTTGTGTGTTAGTAGTATCCATGCCACATATTTACCATTCCTGATTTAGACACTTAGATGTTGATTTTGTTGTGGATTTCCTCTGTTTCTGACTGGGATTCAGGTCCAGTCCTCCCAGAATAAAAATAGCTGTTTGGACAGGTCAGCTGTAATAGGGGAGCTGTGAAACACCTTGTTTCAGGTAGAACCATCCCATTGGAAGGCTGAATCAGTGTCTCTGAATTATTTGCTTTGTGATATATCTCAGGGGAAAATGCACAGACTATGAAGATTCTAACCTCCCTCAAAGAAAAGCACATGGTTCATCTTGTTAACAACTGGTACCTCACAGTGAGAAGAGTGTTGTTTGCAAACTGCCACGCATGAGATAATATCACGTTTTAAAATACTATCTGATTTTTTCCTCCCATTATGTACCCCTTTTCTTTTCTCGGTCCGTCACCCCCTATTCCCACTTCAACCTGTGAGAATCTGTTTTCAATGGAAGGATTGGACAAGACAATGAAACTAAAATAGCCAGTCACACACTCGGACACATTTTTGTTTATCCATTCTGCAGTCCTTGGACATGTATGTAATTTCTACTTTGTGTCCATGATGCATACTGTTACTGTGAACATTCAGGTACAAATTTTTGTATGAAGATATGTTTTCATTTCTCTTAATGAAGCAATTCCTCTCTTGTATCTGTTTCTTTTATCAGAGAAGTCAAAGGCTTACCAATATGCTTCCTCTTTTTTCACTGGCCAGAGTTGACTTGAATGATCACCTTTGTCTATGAGACTGGAAAAGACTGATAAATGTTCCTGGTTTATTTTACTATGGGAGTTGAGAAAGGGAAAAAAGGAATTGGGGATGACCATTGGATCATCCAACTAACAATGTGCTTCCAATGGAGATGTGCCCGCTGAATATCTCCACTTGTGTGCCAGGCACCTCAAAATCACCATACCCAACTCTCAACTCATCATCTTCACCCTCCTAGCAAGCCTGGTCCTTCTCCACACCAGGCTTGTCTTCCTTGACCCCTTTCTTTCCCTCACCCCTGGACCTAATCGATCTCCAAGTCCTATTTTACCCCCTATACATGTCTCAAATCAGTTCTCTTCCTTCCATCTTCTCCACACTATTTAAGAAACCTTCATCTCCTCCCTGCACTGACACAATAGCCTCCACCCTCTCCTCCTTCCAACCCACTCTCCTCACTGTGCCCAGAACCATAGTTTCAAAATGCAAATTGACTCATAATGCTGTGATACTTTAAAACTCTCAAAGGCTTCTCATTGTAAAAACAACGAAAGATTAAACTCCATCAAGTCCCTTTATGATGTTGCCTTCCCCAGGCCTTTGCACATGCTATTCTTTCTGGCTTAAATATGTCCCCCCTATTCTTTTGTCTAATTAATTCCTACTTGTCCTTCAAAGCTCATCGCAAGCATCCTTCACCCTAAAAATCTTCCCTGATTCACCAAACAAGGGCAAGTCCTCTTTATATGTTCTAACAACAGGTATTTTGCCTTCACCCATTTGATATACACAATTAACTCAGTACAGAATTGTGTGTTTAGCATCTGTCTTTCTTGCATGAAAGTAAGTTCCATGGGTCAGGGAAGCATTGTCTTACTCTCTACCCCTTCTCCCACGCCTAGCACAATACCTCATATATGGAAGGCTCTTGTGTAGCTATTGAATACATAACAAGATTAAATGAGTTCATGAATAAATGGAAAGTGTTCAGGGCCAATCACTAACACAAAGAAAGCCAGTAAAGGAACTCTGCATCTGAGGAGCAGAAGAGGAAGAGAAGATTAAAGAGATTTGTTTTCCTTCAGAAAGTACAATAATGTTCTTGTGGACAAAATTGTTAGGCAATAATAGCCTTTGGGCGCCTGATTACTAAAGCATTCAACGATATTTGTTAAGATATTATTTTCTGATCCTTTCTTTTCTCAAGTTCAAGTCTCTTGAAGGCTAGGACAATTTCTTTCTTTTTTTTTTTTTTTATGTTTGTCTACTTTGAGAGAGATAGAGGAAATGAGTGGGGGAGGGGGAGAGAGAGAGGGAGAGAGAGAATCCCAAGCAGGCTCTGCACTGTCAGCACAGAGCCCACTGTGGGGCTCCATCTCACGAACTGTGAGATCTTGACCTGAGCCAAAATCAAGAGTCCAACACTTAACTGACTGAGTCACCCAGATGCCCCAAAGGCTAGGATACTTTCTGCCAAATATCTGAAGAGTACTACTGTGGAGCCAGGTGCAACTCCTGGACAGACACCTAATAAATACTTTGAGTTTAATGGAATCTGATTATCACTAAACTGTAGCACTACTGACTTCTGGTCTCCAAAAATGCTGTAAGGAGAAAGCAAAAAGTTGTGTCCTGAGGGCAAGGATAGTATCTTACAATCTTCACGGTGCCTGATACAGATGATCTATAAATGCCCACTGAATTGGGACCAGGCATGGGTCAGGCATTCCACAGGGTACTGGCACTGACCAGCCTGTCTCACCAGCCCTACTTTTTTATGAGATCTCCACTTTACGGAAGAGAAAGTACCCAATGCCCATGTCTGGGGAAATGACCTACTTTTGAAGAGCTCCTATTTGGGGTGACTGGATGGTGCAGCTGGTCAAGTGTCCGACTCTTGATTTCAGCGCATGTCATGATCTCACGGTTCGTGGGTTCAAGCCCCACGTTGACCTCTAAGCTGACAGTGAAGAGCCTGCTTGGGATTTTTTTCTCTCTCCCTCTCTCTCTGCCCCTCCTCCACTCATGCTTGCTTGCTCTCTCTTTCTCTCTCTTTCT